GGCCAGGCTGGGGGTGCAGAGCTGCCTCCAGGCCCTGTGTGTCCTGTCCCCATGGTGCCCCCTGGCAGGGCCTGGGCAGAGGGCTGGGAACACGACAGCCCAGTGACCAGGACTCTGGGGGTCTTGCTTTGAGGGGACACCAGAGCTTAGGGAGTCTCCTCTTGGCTTACAGGGGTGCCTCACTTTCCCCAAGGGGGTGAGGACGGTGCCCAAGCAGAGGTGGGTCCCCTCCATCACCTCCCCGGGGGGTGGATTTGAGACCCTCAGAGGGGTTGTGGTGCCGGGGGGTTTATCCCTGTTTCAGCCCTTGGCTGCCCATGGGAGTGCCCAGCCTGGGGTTGCCAGTGGGGCTGGGCTGTCCCCAGGCTGCACCAGTGGCTCGGAGGGAGCTGTGATGTCCCCCCCTCGTCCCCCTGCAGATCTCTCCTCCCTCTCCCGGCTCTGTGCCATGAATTATTTGTGCGGCCGTGGCTCCCAGATGTCTGACGAGCCGGCGGGGCTGCGCCTGCCCGGCGGCCACCCCGGTGCCCGCGGGGTCCCTGGGTGGGACGGGGGGCAGTGCCGGGGCACCACGCGTGGGTACCGGGGCTCAGCACCCCGGGCACTGCCCCCTCACCACCCGGGACGGCCGCGCCAAACAACCCGGGAGCCACCGGGGGCGGCGGCTTTTGGGATCCTGCACCACCCACAATCCTTGTCCGGGGGGTGGGCGGGACGGGACGCCCCCCGGGCCGGTGCGGGGCCGGTACCAGGAGGCAGGTGGGCCCCGGGGAGCGAGCGGCAGTGCCGGTATATAGGGCACGGCGCGGGCTGTGCCGGCGCGGAGGCGTGGGAGGCCGGGAAGCAGCTCGCGTGCGGCACAGGGCGGGAGGCAGCGGCACCGGACGCTATTTCTGGTGCTCGTTCCCCGAGGGGATGTGGGGGAAAGTCACCGTGTCCCCCCTGCCGGGCTGCTCTGCTGGGGACGGGCTCTGCTCCCACCCTCGGCCCGGGCGGTGAGGGGGGGGCTGGGGGGTGTCAGACCCCCTGTCCCTCCTTTCCTTGGTGGCAATCACACGGCCAGTGTCCCCCTGCCACCCCCAGGGACACTGTGGCAGCTCCTGGGATTGTCCCTCCTCCATCACCTGTTGATTTTGGGACACGCTGAACTCCCTCAAACCCCACTCTGGCCCCAGGACCCATCCGGGCTCGTCCATCCCAGATCCCACCTCAGTATCCCCACAGACCCCGACCAGACCCATCCCTGCCCCGGGGTCAGCGGTGTCTGTGTGTCTGTCTGTCCGTCCCGTGCCCCCCCAGGCAGGACATGGACTCCATGTTCGAGGACGACATCAGCATCCTGACGCAGGAGGCGCTGGGGCCGGACGAGGACTGGCTGGACAGCCCCAACACCGACCTGTCGGGGGAGATGTGCTCGGCCTCGCACTTCGCCCTCATCACCGCCTACGACGACATCAAGAACCGGCTCACGGGGCTGGAGAGGGAGAACTCCACGCTCAAGCGCCGCCTCAAGATGTACGAGGTCAAGGTGAGGGGTCAGGAGGGGCTGGGGGGGGTGTAGGGCCAGGGGGGCCCCACTGACCCCCTGCCCCGCGGCCGCAGTACCCCCTGATCGGCGAGTTCGGGGAGGAGCACATCTTCTCCCTCTACGAGGCCAAGGAGACGTCGCTGCTCAAGAGCGAGAAGGCGTCGCTGCAGCAGCAGCTCAACCAGTTCCAGCACGAGGTGAGCGGGGAGGGCAGGGATGGGGGACACGGGGGGTCCCCGAGCTGCCCACCCACCCCCCACCTGCTCCCCCGGCAGCTGCAGAAGAGCAAAGAGCGGGAGGAGCAGCTGGAGGAGATGATCCAGGCGTACGAGAAGCTCTGCGTGGAGAAGGCTGACCTGGAGACCGAGCTGGGAGAGATGGTGGGTGATGGCCCCCGGGGCCTGGGGACGTTGGGGTGCCCTTCCCCTCTCCGTGGCAGCAGCTGGGCCGACGGCATCTCCACCCCAGGGGGTGCAGGGCTGGGGGGGCTGTGGCTGCTCGACCCCGTTTGGGCCATGTTGGGGGTTGTAGTGATGTTCTGACACAGCTTTATCCATCTTCCCCCTCCAACCCTGCCAAGGGATGCTCCCGCCTCCAACGTGGTGCCAGTCCTACTTCCAGGTTTGGGTGGGCGTCCCTGGCTCCCCTGTCCCATCCAGATGATTCCCTGCCAGCTGAGGGACCACCCCCACCCTGCCACCCTCCTCTGGGCCGGCACAGTTCCCCCACCAACACCACAGGGATCCCAAGAGCTGGGTTTGGGGCAGGACAAGCCCCATGGAGGGGGGACTCAGCTCATCCCTGTCCCCTCCCCGGGCAGCGGGCGCTGGTGGAGACTCACCTGAGCCGCATCCGGAGCCTGGAGCAGCAGCTGCGGCAGCGCGACAGCGGCGCCTTCCCGGGGCTGGGCACCCCCATGCCCGGCCAGGAGGTGCCTTTCCTCAGCCTGCACCCCAACCCCGGGCTGAGCCACGGTGAGCCACCCCCTCCCCACCCCACGGGACCCCCCGGGCCCCCTCCCGGCGAGGGCAGGGGCTGATCCGTGCGGGTCCCGCAGTGCTGGAGCGCGCCGGGGGCTGGCAGAGCCGGGCCATGGAGGCACAGAGCCGGCTGGAGGCCGAGCTGGAGGCGGCGCGGCAGGAGAACCAGCGCGCCCAGCACCGCGAGGAGCACCTCAAGGCCGAGTGCGAGAGGCTGCAGGCGGAGCTGAAGCACCTGCAGGACACCCGGGAGCAGGTACGGGACGGGCCCGGCCGTGGGGGACCAACCCGGACCATGGTGGGTGGGGGGCCGGGGTTTGGTGGGGTGTCTGCTCTCCCCGGAGCAGGGATGGGGCAGGGTCTGGTCCTCCGATCCTTGGTGGGTGGGTGTCTGGGTGCTGATGGGGTGTCTGCTCTCCCCAGAACAGGGATGGGACAGGGTCTGGCCCTGTGGGACCCCCTGTCTGTGGTGGGTGGGGGTCCGGGTGCTGAGGGGGTGTCTGCTCTCCCCAGGAGCAGTCGGAGCGGGACATGGCCTGGGTGAAGAAGGTGGGCGACGACCAGTAAGTGCTGGGAGGGGACTGGGCTGTGGTGGGGGGTCCCTGCTCTGGCAGGCAGGGATGGGGGCACCGTCTGTGGGGCACCACTGGGCGTCACATCCAGGGTGGGGACAGGACCCGCTTTGGGAGGGGTCCCTGGGGGTTCCCCACGTTGAGGTGCTGCAACGGGTGGGATCCTGCACCCCAAGAGCAGTTGTTGGGGTCCTGCACCCCAAGAGCAGTTGTTGGGGTCCTGCACCCCAAAATTGCTGCACCCCGGTAATTTGGAGCTGAACAGGGCTCTGGGTTGGGGGTGCCCGATGCCACACGGTGTGTGCAGTGCCCGGTGCCCGGTGGTGTGTCCGGTGCCCGGTGCCACCTCGGAGCTGCCTCCAGAGGGCACTGACGGCCCGTGGCTGCCGAGCGGCACCGAGGATCAACGGCTGTCACCGAACAGCAGCCAACCCGTGCCACGCCTGGGCACCGATCCACGCCATCCCCACGGCACAGACCCGTGCCAACCACAGGGCAGCAATCTGTGCCAGCTGTGTGGCACTGGGCATCACTGTGTGGCACCAATCCATGCCATCCCTGTGACACCAATCCATGCCATACTCATGCCATTCCTATAGTACCAAGCCATGCCATCCTCATGGCACAAATCCATACCAACTGTGTGGCACCAATCCATGCCATCCCCATGGCTCCAGTCCATGCCATCCCCATGGCTCCAGTCCATGCCATCCCCATGGCACCAATCCATGCCATCCCCATGGCACTAATCCATGCCATTCCTTTGGCACTAATCCATGCCATCCCTATGGCACTAATTCATGCCATCCCCACAGCACCAATCCATACCAACTGTGTGGCACCAATCCATGCCATCCCTATGGCACTAATCCATGCCAATCATTCTCCAGCCCATCTGCCCTGGGCAGTGCCAGGATCATGCCCAGCTTGCCTGGAGCCACTGACTCCTCCTTCTCCGTGACCAAACCCTGCTGGAGGGTTTCCCTTGGCACTGGTGTAACTGGGTGTGGAGCCCCCATGGTGCCAGTGCTGGGTGTGGGTCCCTCCTCCACCTCTTCCCAGTACCCCCCTGGCTGCAGCCCCGAGCCGTGGGTGCTCCATGTGGGCACCCCTGGGTGCCATGTGTGGTGCTGGACAAGGGCTGAGCACCTCAGCTTTGGGGTTTTGGGCCAAGACACCCCAAATCTGGGAATAGCTGATGGGAGGTGGGGCTGTGACCAGACCCCTTGGGGCTGACGGTGGCATCAGGGTGGGCACAGCCTGAAATCAGCCCTCATTCCCTGCATTCCATGCCCATTCCATGCCCACCCTGGGATGTGGCAGCGGGACTTCACACCCCCGTGTCCCCCCCCACGCCGTGACACCGGGCAGGACGTGCCAGGCTGGCACTGTGCCCCCCTTTGGGCAACCTGTACCCAGCTGTGGATGGATCAGAGGCGACACGCGGGGCTGGGAAGGTGCTGAGGTGTTGGGGTTCCCCCTCCTTTTCCAGAGGGGTTGGAAGCTTTTGCTGTTCCTTGTTTTCCCGGCATAAATCAGTGTGAGGGGGATCCGGGGAGGGGGTTGATCCATCCACACTGGCATCCCTGGGAGGTGCCCACCTCTCTGCTGCACATCCCGGGGTCGGGGAGGGTGTCCCCTCCCTATTCCTCCCCACCCTTCCCCACCTTAATTCACTTTATTTCCATCAAGTCCAGTCTCCCGTGCCCGGGACCCCTCCAGTGCTCACCCCTCATTTTATCCCCCTCTCCCTGTCCCCCTTCCCACAATATCCATCCTCACCCCCCGGGAAACAAAACTCCCAATCCCACCTTCCTTCTGAACCCAAATTCCGCCGCCTGGGAAGGGGAAGCTGAGGCACAGCCCTGCCCCGGGGGCACCTTCCCCCCTCCCCGGGCCCAGCCCTTCCCTCCCCGCTCTGATCTCGCCGATTCAGCTCTTTTTTGTCACCCGCTCCTCTCCGCCACTCTTTTGGTGTGAAAAAGCGCCTTATCGGCGTTTTCCATCTCCGGGGTGATTTTCTTGGTGCTTTGCCACGGCGGGCGCGGGGCCGCTTTTCCTTCTTTTTGCTTTCTTTTCTTAGTTTTGCCCTTTCCCACCCCCCACCCCCCCCCCCTCCCTCCCTCCTCGCCCTTTCTGAGCTCACGGCAATTCCCGCTTGGGTTTCCTCGGGAAGGACGAGCCGAGCGGGAAACGGGAGCAGCCGGGATGCGCGGGGGGAGCTGGGGAGGGGGCCGGCAGAGCTGCACTGGGGGGTCTCGGGGGTGGCTCTGTCCGGGGACATCTCCAGGTGTTTGTGCCCTCGGTGCCACCCTGGCAGGGCCACGGGGACTTTAGGGACGTGTCCTGGGCACCCAGCTGGGGAAACGTGTTGCTTTTCATTTTCTTTTCCTTTTTCACTCTCTTATTTTTTCTCTTCTTTTTTTTCCCCTGTTTTCTTATTTGTTATTATTTCCATTTATTTTTTCTGATCTTCAATATTTTCTTCTTTTTTTCTTATTTTCTTATTTTTCTTCTTCGTTTTTTAATGTCTATATCCTCTTTCTCCCACTTCCCTTCTCTCCCTCCTTTTTTTCTTTTCCTTCTTTTCCTTTTTTCCTTCTTTTCCTTCTTTTCCTTCATATACTATTCTTCTCATTCTTTTTCTCCTTTTCATTCTTTTCATTCTTTTCATTCTTTTCCTTTTTTTCTTTTTTCCTTTTTTCCTTTTTTCCTTCTTTCCCTTCACATACCATTCCTCTCATTCTTTTTCTCCTTTTCCTTCTTTTCCTGACTTTCCCTCTTTTTCTCTCTGTACACTTCTTTTTCTCCTCCTTTCCTCCTTTTCCTCCTTTCCCACTCTTTCTCCCTCCTCTCTACATATCCTTATTTCCCTTCTTTTCCCTCTTTTTCCCCTCCCTATATCCTTCCTCCCTTATTTTCTCCCTTTCCCTCCTGCACCCTTATTTTTCCTCTTTTTCTCCGCGTTGCCTTTTCCCTCTTCTCCCTCTTTTTTTTTTTTTTCCCTTCCCCTTCATCCTTTTTCTCACCACATCCCTCCTTTCCTGCCCTTCCCCTGCTCTCCCCGCCGTCCCCCCGGGGGGCAGGGGCAGGACCGGCGCTGTCACCGCGGTTACGAGCGGCGGCTCCGGGTGCCGGGGGTGTCACAACGGCTCAGCGGAGCCTTCGAGGACGCGCCGAGCGCGGCCCCGCGGGGCCCTCGCAGGCGGCTTCTCCCTTCACATCCCCGCGGAGGAGCCGGGCTGGGAAGGCGACACCAACCCGGGGCGCGGTTGATGGATTTGTCACAGAGCTCTCGGGGAGGGGAGGGGGGTGAGGACCCATTTCCTGGATGCTCCCGGCTGCTCCCACAACTTTTTGAGTGGATGAGCTGAATTTGGGCTGGTTTGGGTCTGTCACCCTCAGAGCCACCCTGTTGTCCCCCCCCCCCACAGGGTGAACCTGGCGCTGGCCTACACGGAGCTGACGGAGGAGCTGTGCCGCCTGCGGAACCTCAGCTCCCTGCAGAGCCAGATCCTGCGGGCCCTGCTGCAGGAGAAGGGCCTCAACGGCGGTAAGGGGGGCACGGGGGGCTGCACCCCGCTGCCAGGCAGGGAGGGGGGCACAGGAGCTGGGAGAACAGGGCTGGTTGCCCTCGGGCTCCCGGCGGTGCTGAGCTGATGTGGGTGTTGGTCCCCGAGAGCGTCCTGCCCTGGGAACATCCAGGGATCATCCCAGGATCATCCCACCCAGGGGGCTCCCATCTAGGAGCATTCTGCCCCAGGAGCATCCCACCCCAAAAATGTACCTGGGAGCATCCATGTCTGGAAGCATCCATATCTGGAAGTATCTCACCCCAGGAGGATCCATTCCTGGGAGCTTCCTGCCCCAAGAACATCCATACCTGGGATCATTCTACCCCAATGGCATCCATCCCTGGGAAGATCCATCCCTGGGACCATCCATCCCTGGGAGCATCCCACCCCAAGGGCATCCATCCCTGGGAAGATCCATCCCTGGGATCATCCCACCCCAAGGGCATCCATATCTGGGACCATCCATCCCTGGGATCATCCCATCCAAGGGCATCCATCCCTGGGAGAATCCATCCCTGGGAACATCCATCCTTGGGTGCACCCCCTCCAAAAGCATCCACCCCCGGGATCATCCCACCCCGGGATCACCCCACCCCAGAATCATCCCTCCCGCCGGGGATCCCTCCCACATCCCCCCCTCCACCCGGGATGCCCGAGGGATTTTTTCCGCACCGCCGAGCTAACGGGGTGGGGGTGTTTTTCCTTTCGCAGGCCAGCGCCACTCCCCGCTGTCCCAGTGCCACTCCCCGCTGTCCCAGTGCCAC